TTATAAAATGATTCTCGAGTTTTATAAAACGATCCTTGAGTTTTATAAAACGATCCTCGAGTTTTATAAAACGATTCTTTGGGTTTTATAAAACGATTCCTTTTATATTTCTGCGGGGAGTTTCGGCCGTTGATTCCGTCGTACCGATTTTGACCCCAACAATCGATATCACCCTTTTGCCTGCGCACCACACCCAAAACCTCAACAACATGCCAATGGGTACTGATCTAGAGCACACCTACAGCAACACTGGACGACATGAGTGCAGATTATCAAGCATTGAGAAGTGGTTACAGAGAATCCACTATGAGGTCCAGGGTTTGCAAGCTAGTATGACCAAAAGTGAGAAAGCCACAAGAAGCTTCCCAACTTCATGGTTTGAAGAATCACATGACAAGAAGGATACTTGTTTCTCAACAAGTACCTGCAACCCACCTCACTAGCCACCATACCTCCATAGTAAAGGTAAATGACTTTAACTAAGCGCTGAGTGGGAGGAAACCCACTGTTAGGTATTTTCTTACTTAGTTTTATTTTACTTTTACTTATTACTTTCGTTTTTATTTGTTTTTAGGAATATAGCTACACGATCACTACCTCTATCGACCGATGAGACTCTGTCTACATCGCCCGACATAACCCTATCCATGACGATCGATGGAAATGACTCACCATCGATCGATACGAACATCGGTCAGGTATATCGTTCACAATTTTGATATCAGTTATACATTTATTATTTCTTATGCTCTAACTCCGACTGGTTATACACTGAGTACAGTGTATGATTTAAGTCTGGGGGAGTGGAATTACTGATGCTATTTTACCTTTTTGATCTCTTTAAAAAGTTTTAAAAAATTGGTTTTATTGGGTCAAGAAAGGGACAAAAATATTTCAATTTTTTTTTGCTTTTTATCTTACTACTCTTTAGCACCATTCTTATAATTATTGATTGCAGAATGTAGTATAGATGCTAAAGTGGATCACCGATCATCCTATGACAACACTTTTCATGATTGTTTTGAAGAACCAAAGCTGATTTCCAACCTAACCTGACATTTATTACTTGTCTTGGGGCTTGGTATACAAGGGACCAGAATCCTCATGCAAGTCTGGAAGGTAAAATTCTCAAAAAATTTGGTTTCTTTCTCTCCTTCCTTTGGCATCCCATAAAGAAAATAAAAGATTGAGATGATTTCCTGAGAGGCAGAGGGAGATGTACATTACCCATGACCACACTACTCTAAATCAAAGGAATGATCACACATTGTCGAAGCAAGGGAGAGGTAAATTACCTATGACCCCACTATTCGCCTACACTTTGTCAAAAAAGAGACTACAAAAGTTGAAAGAGCAATAAGATGAACATTAGTTGTTCATTGGGATTGATATAAAAGAGAAGAAAATTTGGGATTCAGAGAAGGGGGAAAAAGAGAGAAAAGGAACCAGAATGAGAATGTCTGAAACTTGTATGAGTTGAATCCAACTGTTCTTTGATCGATACTCCCAAGGTAAAGACTACACCTTTATTTTATGCATAAATGAAATCAGTAGAGGGGATAGACAGACATGATTGTTTAAGTTTATTGGCTAGATGAATTTGGTTGATAAGCTAGGATATGGTATAATGTACTTCTGTAGTTAGTAATATAAGATGTGGCTTGCAACAAAGTAGAGGTAATGATTTTAAAGCTAAGATTTTATTGAGTCCCTACTGTTTTAAAAACTTCTTCCAAAAGAGACTAATGGTTTGCTTGAGGACAAGCAAAAGGTTAAGTCTGGGGGAGTTTATATACCATGATTTTGACCCGCTTTTAGCCATGGTATTGATATATTTTTATAAGTTTTATATATGTTTTGGAGTCTATTAGGTATGTTTTCAGGTTCATGAGCATTTTGGAGTAAAGTGATGATTTAGGTGCCCTTATGGAGCTTAAAGAAGAGTTTTCCGAGATGACTATGAAGATCATACAACAAGGATACATATCGATCGATACACACCCTGTGTAATCGATCGATGACGCTTCCAGAGAAGATGAAGTCGAGATACTCCATCGATCGATGTACACCATGTACCATCGATCGATATGAAGCGTGGAGAACAAGTCCGACTTAGCCGACTTGAAGCCCAAGTTTTCCCAATATTACAATAATGCCCTTGGCGAGTTTTTAACCTAATGGAACTCATACTTATAGTTATGCCTAAGTGTTTTGGAAAAGTATGTTTTTTATTCTTTTGAATCCTTTCACGTTCTTTTGTTCTTTTGATACTATTCTATACTTAGCAATAAAGTATTTCTTTTCATCTTAATTTCTCAAAGGTTATAGAATTCTAGATTTAGAAGAAACACATAAAGAGATTTGTTGTTCCAAGAACCAAAAGTTCAATCTTCTAATCTAATGAGTTTCTATTATTACCTTGCTGTTATGAATCTCTCAGCTATGTCTTAGTAGATTTCTTTGTTAGATTTAGCGTTCAAATAGTTATGAGGGATTAGCCCCAACTATTGAATGTTGAGTTGTTGATATTCATTATCCAAATGAACCCTAATGCTTACTCTAGAGTAGCTACCTAGAGTATGATCATGGATGTGATTTAACTTGTTAATCATTGTCCTGAAATCATTTGACATAAGCTTAGATCCTCTAGGGATGTGCGAGAGCCGGTCTATGATCTTGGTGAACACAGTTTCGATTCGATCTTATGCTATATCGATCGATACTCCTATAGAGTCATTGATCGACGGCAACCCATATCGTCCAATATCGCTGTCAAAACATCGGTCGATATTGCCGGCAATAAGATCAATGGATGAGTCTATTTAGCGACTGCTATTAGATCTGTCTAAGAATCAAAGTTCTTATATATCTTGCAAGCAATTCACTAAAACATTTGTAGCATTATAATCCTGCTTATCTGAATAGTAACCTTGAATCTAACTACTTTCTTTTATTGTCTTAAACCAAAACATATTCTCTTGAGAAACTTACCATTGCTTACAAACTGCAATTTACTATTTTACGTAATCAACCTAGCATAATCACTTAGGATTACATCTATTGTGTTCCTTAGTTCCCTGTGGATTCGATCCCTAAGTACTACAACTGAACCTCTTATTTGAGAGAGTAATTCACTCCTTAGGATTAAACATTTGAGTGATATCAACTACTAACGAGTATATGCTGTCAAAATTATCAGGTACCATTTTTATTTTATAAATTACATCTTTCGTTGTTAGAAACAATGAATATAATCTTATATACACTAATTAATATTGTTAACAGGTGCAGAAAAAAATATATCTTGGTTCTGATGGTATAGATAAATCTGACAAATGACCAAAGGATACTATGTGTTACTCTCAGGAGTTCTTGGATAGCATAAAGATCTCTGGATTGCCGAACCACTCTTTGAAGTTAAAGGTTGGTGCCATAATTATGATGCTCAGAACATCGATTCCAAATGCGGTTTATGTAATGGTACAAGGCTGAAAATTACTCAGTTGGCTGATCATGTTATTGAGGTTATAATTATAACATGTAATAGGAATGACACAGAAGGCGGTGAAAGAGTCCTAATACCAAGAATATTTGTATCTCCGCCAGGAACAAAATTCCCTTTCAGGATGTGTCATAGACAGTTCCCCATTTCGGTTGCTTTTGCAATGAATATAAATAAGAGTCAAGGTCAAACACTACAAAGAGTTGGAATGTATCTTCCAATACCAGTTTTTTACTCATGGACAGTTGTATTTTGCGGTCCCAAGAGTTAAATCAAGATCATGCTTAAAAATTCTAATCACAGATAAAGACGGCAAACCTCTAAAAAAACAATGAATGTCGTGTACAAGAAGATTTTTCAAAACATTGCCTAAGTCTCAGCTTTTGTTGTCCCGGCGTATGATCACTTTAATTGCTTAATACATTATGAGATTTTGTAATACGGGAACTTTGTGATCCAACGGCATAATCAAATAAAACAACTCTTCCGGTACATCAAAGCTTCATAGTATAGAAGTCACTACATCTAACATGTTCATCTTCGTCAAATAAACAACTTCATAACTTCTGTCTTATGAAAGAAAACGACACTAACTTCACCACCCTCTGATCATTAGAACATTACTCTTTTAACAACTTTTATTTAATATATTTTATTATATTTCTACACAAAATTGATATGTTATAACTATACTTTAATTTCCAAATATATAATTATAAAGAATAATAATACAATTAAATTCGCGCATACACGCAGACGTATCATCTAGTTACTAGTACAAGTCAAGTAGAATAATATTAAATATATCAAAAATACTATGAATATAAAAAATACCACTCTGTATGATGCTTTAGGCAAAAATGAATTTTGATATGTGAACTGTGAATGATTACCATCTTGATCAAACAAATTGATATTTCTTTTATCTTGTTTTTATCTGCAAATTTAACTACAAGATCATGAGTCATACGATTACAACCTACAAGTGGCTAATTTTCAGACTATGAAACAACGAGAGAATTATTGACGATAGAGGACAACTATATCTAATCACAACGCACTGCAGAATGTTACACTTGCTTTGTTTTATATTTGCAAACTACTTTCAATCTAAAATACTAAACTCAATTGCTACTATTTTGATTATTTTTAATACAAAAGTCCATTTTCTTGATCTCAAACACTAACTTTTGTCTATTTCAAAAGACGATCGGGATGTTCTTATTGTCATTATTAACAAAATATTGACGGTGTAGATATTTAAATGAACACTTATTCATGGCTGATCGATCATATTTTGAACGCGATCATCCATAAACTACCCGCCCATTAGACACCTTAGATATCTCTGTATTGAGAATAGATACATATTCTTGTCTCTCTTTCTCGCAAATTCGCTGTTCGCCCATTTAAACGGTACATGAGAGTATTAATAATGCTTTATTCCATTTTCCAAATGGTTCTCTTCTCAAAAAGTTACAAGAGAAAGCAAATTACACCTTTCCCACCAATTGCTCTCCAACACAAGGTCCCATGAGAATTAATAAAATACCATATGGATTAAACAAATCTTGTTGACATTTTAAAACCACATTTATTTGAAAGCCGAAAATACTTTCAAACTATAGAAACCAGCAAAAATAAAGGTAGGGAATCTCATTATTTATTTTGTTCTTCCAGATGCATGTATGCACCTAACCATACCAAATTTACAACCGAAATTAGGATTGTCTTATTCCCACTTTACCACCCCCCTTCAAATCCCTATATTTACCTTTCTACCCCTTTTTGCATCACATAAATATACAAAGCACATTACATATTCACAGAGAGTTACCACTAGTAGGACAAAACCTATAATTTGGTTTCTCTTCTCCTAACACAAGCGAAAAAGCAATTTATATGAAAAAGACAAGAGGCAAAAGCTTATGTATTAGTTAAACCTTTGTGTGTGATCTTATGGATCAAGAAACTGGCAAATGAGCTGGCTTTTAACACTTTTGCTTCTTCATTTTTATCCCATTGGAGAGCGGTGAGGGATTCCCTTTCTTCGCTTGGCAATTCTGCAATTGCTAGATGCGGTAAGTGGAGGTGTTGATGGGCTGAAACTCTGAATGTTCTTCCCAATTCCAATGCTGCTACTTGAATCCTCTGATTCCATCAAAACGTTCTTCCTTCCCTTTTCAAAGCCTCCAGATGATCCAGCAATCTTTATTTCATTTCCCAAAACACACATAAAAAAAGTAAAGTTTATCAGAGAATGATTATGAGAAGAGCTGCTACAAGAATGTAAAAGACAAATCTGACACATATCAAAAGTTTTGCTCTTTTTCTGGACAAGACTAAACATTAAAACGAAATTCTTGGAAACGTATGGTGAAACTGTAAAGAATAAATCATATTGGTAGATGACCCATTTCAAAAAAGTTTTCAACTTTTTACTCAAAAAGGCAATGAAATGGTAGGTGAAACTGTAAGAGAACCTTAAAATGTGTGTACCCAATACGACTTTAACACAAAATGAAAAGATGAGAAGGTACCTTGCAGCCAAGAGAGCAGAAGCGGAAGCTATCATCAACGAGGCTACGATAGCAAACCTTGCAGGTATTGGTCACACCTTTCCCAGGCCTAGGCTGAGGCCTCTCGTTCAAGAAGATGACTTTAGCACTATTGATCACATAAGTTTGGATCCCTGATATATCAATATGCTTTTGTATCTCATTTACCCTTATAACATCATGATATGAAGATCTCCTTATCTGCCAAAACCAACCAGGACAAATTCAAAACACCAACAAAGAAACGAAAACCTTTTGATGAATCTACTTTGAATTATAGCAAGAACGGACCTGAATGGTGTGATGATCCTTGTGATGGGCAAGACAAAGAGAACAAAGTGGGCCGTTGGTACAGTCTAAGCAGTACATATTGCATTCACTCTTGTGAGAGTCTACATGAAACTTGCAATGACCAAAAAATTTCTCTTGAAGCAGAGGTTTCAGCCATGGTGGCTGCCTGTTATCTTCCTCCTCTGGTCCACCAGCTCCCTACATCAAAACCAGATAAAAAAACATAACTCTTAAACAACATAACTATACCAAAACCAACCAGTTCCTCATTTCAGCATATATCTTTGGTAGGTAGACAAAAACAGAGCATTTAAATGATGAACAGAAATAACAACCATTTCAAAACTAAAATATATTTCTTTTTTTAAAAGGCGATTACTTTTAACCAGTTTCAAATTTGAAAGTTCATATTCATATATAAATCCCAAACCCAGGAAAAAAAAAATCAAATAAATGAGAACTCGAATCTAAAAACATAAACCATACTGCACATTTTGAGAAATAGGAGAATAAAAAGAAGTACCATGATTCTTCTGTTCTTAGGCTTGATTTCTCGGATTGTGTTTTCTTGATCCTCGATCGCCATTTTCGTGAGAAACCCAATCGCAGTAAGTAAAAGAGAGTCTTTTTTTTCGAGGAAAGCTGCCAACTTTTTCTAGAGAGAGAGAGAGAGAGAAAGTGAGGAGTTTTCTTGCAGAGAAAACAGAGACAGTCTCTCTCTTATCTTAGTAAAGTCGACCAACCAAACCTCCTTCCTTCTCCCTTCCTTATATTTTTTTTTCAATTATATTCAAAAAACCAATATTCTATAATTACTTATATTGTTCCACTAAAATCTATTTTTCATATCTTTTGTGATATTCTCTTAAGCATATCTAGTATAAATAGTATTAATGAACTTATCTTACAATGATATACCCCATTCCAACTAAGATTTTAAGTTTTAAGATAAGAGTTCTTTAACTTTGGTTGTAATGATTTTTCAGAGAATACTGTATTTTAAAATATTTTTCGCCTACTTTGTTATGTAGTTTTCATTTTTTAAGTATGTTTATGTCATTATTATATGGAAACTTATCTCCACATATGTTAATACTCCTTTCCGTTGCATATCCTTACAGCACAGCATCATTGTTGGTTACACATTAAGCATTTATGTATAAAATAAGATATTCCCTTTCGTTATAAATTTTCAATTTTATTTGGGAAAAGTTTGTTTTTCGTGTTAGATATTATATTAGCCAAGTGGAGAAAACAATTGCTCCATTATTGTTGCTTGACATCTCATCTCTATCCTTTACAATCACCATTATATTCTTCTTTTTTTCTTCCATCAGGTGGTCTCTCATTTGTCCCTCTCTTTTCTGATATTTTAAAAATACCAGGTTATATAGCTATAGCCTATAGATTGATAATATAAAAAAAAAAAATTAATCCATCTCAATACACAACTAACTAACAAAAACTATTTTGGTGTCAAAAAGAGTTTTAGTATAACATCATTGATATATTCACTTTAATATAACGTCATTGATGTAGTCAAATAGCATAACCGTTGGAAAAAACAGAGTTTATAAGATAACAAAACTTACAAAATCATTTCGGAATTATGTTATTTTAAAATATGTGTATCTGCATAAGAATGAGTTGGAACAAGTTTGAAACGCACTTTACTTCGCTGTTATTGTTGGTGTTTATGTGTATAAAATAAGAAGATGGATTATATCAATAATTAGAGTCCATTGGTATAGCTTTTGTAGCGAGCAATAAGCGGAGACAAGCTCATGAATTGGACATATTATTAACCTAATCCATGTGTACTTGTTTATAACTTTTTAATATGATTAATTTATAAAGAGGAAAGTAATGCAGAAATTTAGGTCAGAAGATGGGTGATTATATAATAACACACTCTTTTGTTCAGTAGTGATTTCGTTTGGTTGTTGTTTCTATTTAATTAAGTGCATAAACATATCAAAGCCAGTACTAACTATTCTAAGATACATCAGAGCGACACATAACCTATTTTGTTTTATATACCAAAACTTGTTTTGAATCGTTGTCATGCCTTGTCAAATATGAAAGCACACTTAGTTTTGATAAACCAATATCTTCCCTAAACGTAATTTCATATTTGAAGAGCAACTTTTTTTTTTGGGTAAAATGAAGAACAACGTTTTCTTCTTACATATTGAACTAACCACAGTTTTTGTTCAAATAAAATTCGATAGGTGAAACTTAGAATTATTTTTTTAAATTAGTGAACTATTATTATTATTATTATTATTATTATTATTATTATTATTATTATTATTATTATTATTATTATTATTATTATTATTATTATTATTATTATTATTATTATAACATTCACTCTTTTCGTTGTTAGCTAGACCACCATGTTTCATGCAGATATATGATATGTTGGCTGATGATAAAATCATTGTTATGAATCATGTAGTCTAAAACTTTGAAAATGACTATAATGTAGTATATAATAAATTAAAGACGAGAAGGAGATAAAGTAAAGACGACATATAATATGCATTGTATAGACGGCATATGATAATACCAGCTTTTTATTCATTTGTCAATGCATGATGGTCGATGGGGATGCCAAATTGTTTTTTTCAATAAAAAAAGTTTTGAAAAAATGAAACTAAAGTAAGATCTTTAATATAAACGATAAATTTCTATTGGTGAGTTATCTATCTTTTATGACAATTTTGAAGAAGAATGTATGCAGTCATTTCAAAAGGAACGCACTCAACGCAGCATCTTATTTGCGATTTGATGTCCATTGACTTTGAAAATGGACGCACACCACTTGACTTTCACACCACTTTCTTAGTCCCAGACTCCCAATTCACACTCTTTTCTTATTTTCATAAATAATTTTTGGGAATTTGTGAAGAATACCACTTTCCTTGTACACATTTTCAATTTTATACTAATCACTTTTACCTTTAAAATTTTAGTGGGAAAAATAATATTTTATCCCTACTTAATTAAACTAAAAGCAACCTATTGATTCTCGTTATTCCCTCTCTCCGACGGAAAGATTGCGAAGCGGAGCCCTGTCGTAGCTGAGGCGGTTGCGGAGAGATGATTGGATGAGCTGGTCTAGATCTTTCTTGAGGTGGAGGTTCAAAGATCGGAGCTTGGTGTTCTCTAGACGGAGTGCTTCCGCTTCCAAAGATGCTTCATGGAGGCGCGTGTAAGACTGTCTCTCGATTCACCATATCTTGGCGTCGCTGCTGCATCACGTTGCGGTTGGAGTGGTAGAGCTGGTCACAAGACGGTTCTCCGTGAGAGTTCATGATCCCAGTGGCTCCGCCACTGTAAGTAAATGGTGCGATTTCGTTTTCCATTGTTCGTCGGTGAAAATCGCGGTGGTTTCTATTTCACAATCGCCGATTGCAGATTTCAACCTCATGCCTCGTGATTGAGAAGCTAAGTTCACGCCTTGGGTTGTTGAAGTAGCAAAGGCTTAACCTTGGCTTGAGAAAGTTTGTTTGAAACGGATGTTTGTAACTGATGATGACTTGGCTCTTCTCGCTGAGTCGTTTCCTGGTTTCAAGGATATTGTCTTGCTTTGTTGTGAAGGTTTTGGGACTAGTGGTATTCGCTCTTGTTGCCAACAAGTGCAAGTTAACTGTCTATAGATCTCTCTTTACTCTTAGAGATTCGTTTTGAAAAGTAAAGTTTTACATTTTTTTTTATTGATTTGTTTCAGAAAAGTAAGAGTACTTGATCTGATCGAGTCTGAAGTGGCTGATGACGAGGTGGATTGGATCTCTTGTTTTCCCGAGGGTGAAACCACACATCTAGAGTCTCTTTGTTTTGACTGTGTGGAGTCACCTATCAATTTCAAGGCCTTGGAGGGGATTGTGCTTAGGTCTCCCTTCTTGAAGAAGCTTAGAACCAACAGGTTTGTTTCCCTTGAAGAGCTTCATAGGCTAATAATGCTTCGAACGCCACAATTAACGAGTCTCGGGACTGGCTCATTCAGTAGCGGCACACACGTTGAACATGAACCAGAACCGGATTATGCATCTGCTTTTTGTGCTTGTACATCATTAGCTTGTCTCTCAGGATTCAGGGATTCAAGCTTTGGCCTTTGTCTTTACTTTTCTCTATACTCGGATTTTAACTCAAGTGGAAGTGCATAACATATGCTTATTGTTGTTTTCTTCTTTGATAAAAGGTGGAGCTTTGAGAGTGAACCAGCTCAGCTCAGAGTGAACCAAAATGCAAGGCTTATCACAGCAAGCCGCAGAGTTTTACCAAGCTGCATACGAGCTTAGAGTTGTCTGCTCCGGTTCAGAGTTTCATTTGACTTACAAGAACTAAGGCAAAGCTAAGTGAAATCAGGTAACAAAATCTTCTTCAGTCTCTAAACAAAACTTGCAGAGTGGCCGGTTCTTGAAGATAACTATTTTGATGATTTAGAGTTTGAAGTTGTACTTTGTTGGATGGTTATTTGATATAAGACAGTAAGTCTCAATGAATGTCACAGGCACCTAGATGAAACCATTCAAAAATAAGGTGTAACTTGTTCTTCATAGCTTATCTACATTACACTCTAACTCTCTTGAGGAAAATGTAAGACAGCTTTTATATTTTGCAGAAGATTGATGGTCTAACGAAACAACAACATTTGATTCCTCTTGTACCTATATTGGAGAGAATATGGCAGTCTCGCAGTCATGTATTATAACCAAACACTGATAGTTTGTGCTTACCCTGCAGACTTGTAAGCTCTGTTATCCGGGTGATAAGTGATGTCTTTTCAGAGTTGAAGGAACACGAGAAGAAGATCACTGAGATACTAGAAGAGGAGGAGGCAAGCTTTTGCAAGAGCTTCGAAAAGGTGGGTGCTTGATTTACTTTTATTTATGAAACCTGATGTTTTGAGAAACAACTCTTATTAGTTTCAGTGAAAACCGTGTATTTTAGTATCATTCAGAAAAAAATTGTGTTGGACAAGATTCCACATACACTCTTTGTTGGACATGTGAGTACAGTACCTGTTTTGATGACATGTTTCCAACAATTCTCACTGCAGGGTATTGAGAAGTTTCAGAAAGCTGCTCAATTGGGTCAGGAGAATACTCTGAGTGGGGAGAGACATGCATCTAAATAGATATTTATGCTGTTTTGGATAGTTGCAGTAAGTGGAACGCTCATTTCCATCTCAATACGTTAGTTTTGTTGTTTTGCAGATTGTTTTTGACTTGTGGGCTACGTATGGTTTCCCAGTAGATTTGACTCAGGTATTTAGCTCATTTGTAATTTGAGAGAAAGCATGTCTTGGTCCAGTGAAAGATTGTCGTAACTGCAACAAACATTTCAAATAAATCATCTCTATTTACAACAAGAACAACCGCAAAGATCGTTTCAGCCAGTCACATATTCTTTAAAACGTACATGTATTTCTGCAGCAGTAGTGTCACTAGAACACCAATCTGACAAGTAAGACATACGTGCTGATGTTGATCACATAGCCAGTCACAAACACGTACCTGTATAGCAGGCGAGGAGTGATGATGTTGATCACATAGCCAGCAACCACACTCTAAAAATTTAACATTCTCAGACCCAAATTTCTCCTGAAAATTGAATGTTATTCTTACAAATTGATTTATAAACTTTTATAAATTGATTTATAAACTCTTATAAATTGACTTATAAACTCTTATAAATTGATTTATAAACCCTTATAATTTTTTTTATAATCTCATATGAATTGATTTATGAACTCTTATAAATAAAAGAGAGTTATGATCAGTAATGTTTTAATATGCTTTTTAATCCATATAAATGATTTTATTAACCCTTAAAAACGATTAAGTTAATTCTTAAATAATTTATAAAAAGGTTTATAAAATTCTGAAAATAGTCCATAAACCTTTGTAAATCATTTATTAAAGATTCATCACTCTTATAAACTCTTATAAATTTTCGTTGTAAATTTTTTATTAAAGATTCATCACTCTTTGTAAACTCTTATAATCATTTATAACTTATTTTATAAAGGTTTATAAATCATTTTATATGAATATATATAAACTATTGATAAAGGTTTATAAATGATTTCTAAATCGTCATAAGTGATTTATAAACATTTATAAATTATTTATAATCCTTATAGACTGGTTTTATAAACTCTTATAAATGAATTACACTTTAATAATATATTTAGAAATCCTTATAAACTGTTTTGATAACCAATTGTAAATAGATTTATTAGCTCTGATAGATAATGCTATTAACAAGATTAAGCAAACAAGTCTCAAGACTAATATTATAATCAGAAAGAGTAGGTTATAAGTCTCGGAGGGAATAAACAACAGCCAACAATTATTTTACAAACTCTTACAATGTTTCTTTATTTTCTTGTATGATGCACACGTCATTCGTAATAGTTAGAAGGATTATGGAAAATTAGACATATCATTCTATGACATTAAAAAGGTTTACAAACTAATTATTGAACTATGATTATAAATGACTTATATAATGATTATAAACTAATTTAGAAAGGCGTATAAACTAATTTATAAAAACTTATAATTAATTTATAAAGGTTTATAAAATCATTATATAAGGTTTGTAAACTGATTTGTAAAGGTTTATAAACTAATTTAATAAGGTTACTAAGTTAATGTATAAAAAGCTTATAAAATGATTCATAAAGGTTTATAAGTTAATTTAGAAGACTTTATAAACTAATTTATAAAGGCTTATAAACTAATTTAAGGGTTTAGAAGTTTTTTATAAATCTTTATAAAATTTTTTTTATTCATTATGAAACCCTTATTATATGATTTATAAACTTTCATAGATCAACTCTTACAAATGGTTTCATAAACCTTATAAGAATTTAACAAACCCTTATAGAACCTTTTATGAAACTTAATGTACACTTACAAAGACTTTAAAAATAATTTTATAATTTATAAAGCCTTATAAAAAACTAATAATAATTTATAAATGATTTTATAAATATTTATAAATGACCACTAAACCATTATAAATGATTTAGAAACTAATAATAACTTATAAATGGTTCTTGCTTATGTTAATCATAAGTTCATTATATAAGGTTTGTAAACTGGTTTGTAAACTGATTTGTAAAGTTTTATAAACTAATTTAATAAGGTTACTAAGTTAATGTATAAGGTTACTAAGTCTCTCTATCTCCATAACTTGTTCCTACATTCTTTGCTCGAGCATTCCTCCTCGTGCATATGCTTAAGATAGTGAAGCAGTTTTTGTGTGGATTCTAGTCCACCATAGTTAGTTGACAATGATTTTCTTTTAATCTGAACCAATGTTCAAATAGAAGCATGAGTTCGGTTCTTGTACAAAAAATTGTATTCAAAGTGTTTGGACGCAACTTACAAGTGTATTGCTTGAACAAGCTTCCACTCTCTTCTTTCATTAACAAATCAATCAAACACGGATCCGAAAAACAAAACCATACATGTTGATGTCTACTAACGCATATCAGCTTAAACGTTGTGGACTCATCAACAACGCCTTTTTAAATCCTTTCCTTGATCATCTCTGAACACGTTTAGTCCCAACTTTGAACCTGAAGCAGCTTCAGAGTTACGACGGAACAGATTCTGCGAGTTCTTGTAGTTTCTTCAGACCAAAGGTGGCTATAAGTTCCATCGAGACAAACATTCTTTAGCCTCTTCTTTTTCTTCGTCTTCTTCTTTGAGACCGCATGTGAGTTTAAGCTTCTCTGCTTCGGACTCTGCTTCCTGTGCTTCCTCAAGTAGAAGATTAGCTTCTTCCAGATCTTTCAGCTCGAGAGCAGCTGATCTCTTTGCTTTTGCAGTGCCACTGTCAATCCGCAACCTCTGGAATCTACTGACAGACAATTCTTTTTCTTTCGACAAAATCAACCTCTCTAACTCTTGTAGCCTCTCGATTGTTTCTTCAATCTCCTGCTCTGCTTTCTCGAGCTCAGCGTTAGCTTGTCCTGTTTCGATCTGTATCTTATCCTTTTCTAGATTTAAGAACTTAAGTTCTGCTAATTCTTCCAGCTTCTTTGAAATTTCTTGTTGAGTCAGCCACTTTCTTCTCTGCTTCAAGCTCCGGCATCCTTTTCTCTATGAACATAATTTTATCCATGAATGATGTAATGTTCTGTTGGGTGATCGACTTTCTAGAAGATTGCTCCTGTAAGAAAAGAGACGAGATCAATAAGGCCTTATACAAAATACTAATGGCAAATAACTAAAACTGTAGAATGAAGTTGCAAAATGACATTTACAAGATTCAATACCATATTGTTTTACAGTCATTAAGCATTTTTTTCAGAGCATAAATGACCTGTTAAAACATGTAGCACCAGACTTTTCCATAATATGCACTTTGTGGATAAGTAATTATAGATATACTTCCTTGTGCATAGAATGGAACAAGATTTATATCTACTATTATGTTGCAGCGAAGAATGGAGAATAAGAGAAAGTAGAGACAAACCTTTAGTGACTCTCGGGTACTGGAAACCTTCTCCTGTAGCCTCTTGACTTCCTCAGAAAGCTTCTCTTCAATACTTACAAGCTTGGCTCTCTCTTCTCTAGTCTTTGACACATATGACATGAGTGTTTTTCGAAATTTAATAACTTCCTCATATTCATTTGCTTCGTCTGCTGAAACACTGACAAGTTCACAGAGTTTGGCCCCTCTCTCCTTCTGTGATGCCACAGACTCATCTACATCTTTCTTTTTCCTTGACAAAGCTTCAGTCTCCGTATCAATTTGGGACAAACCCGCTTGCAAATTGCTAAAAATTTTATCCATGCTTGTTTGCAACTCCTTGTAGCCAGAGACCACATTGTTAATTCTCTCCTCAACTGCCTTTATTTGAGAATCATTCTCGTCAATCTCCTTGTCCTTTGCCTTCACCAGAGCAAGCAGCTCCATAAGCTCACCGTTTTATACCTCTCATCATCTCCCACTTGCTCACCCATCGCCACACCTTTAAAAATAAACGCCACAGCCTCAACCAAAACCATCGCAAGCTCCGCCTCCTCTCCTTCCTTAACCACCGGCAACAACTTCTTACTGGACCCACCTCTAAGCTTCTCAAGAACCTTAAACCCCTGGGAAACCACACTCTCGTAGAATCCCCAGGAATCGAGGCAGTAGATCAAACGCAATCTCTAAAGCTGGAGAGTGTGGGGCTTGCAGGCTAATTGAGCGGAGAAGGACTCCAAGCAGAGCTCGTACGCGCGGAAGAGGTATTCAGCGGGTGAGGAGTCGTGGGGTTGGGGATTCGAGAGGCGTTGGGGAAGAGGGAGATTGATTCACTGCAAACCCTAACCGTCGAAGTTTCGTGAGAGAGAGAGAAGGCTCGCCGAGAGAAAATCAGTAGAAGAGAAGTTAGGGAAATGGTAGTTTTGTCATTTGGTCATTAATGAATAGGGTATTGATGAAAATGTCCCTTGAGTTAGGGTAAACTTGAATTGTGGTATAGCAAAAATGGTATTTTTGCAATTGTCCCATAATTTTTGTGTTTATATTTTATTTACAATACTTGTTTTTATTGATCACACATTATCTATTTGATTCTATCTTATATTTCTCTTCCACAATATTATTTCCCATTACACACATATCTACAATACATTGCGAACCCTGATATAAACGATATTACATTTGTGAGGAAAATATCATTTTAAAACATGTGTGATAATATGAAGCAATTTATGGATTACACAATATTACATTACATCATTTTACACTACGCAAATACTTTTTTCATGTTAATTAGTTTTTTACAGGAACCATTTTATAAGATTTTCTAAACATATAAACACGAGTTGTTTTTTCTCGACGTTAAACAATACTACAAAAAAGGAACAAAAGAAATGGTTTTAGTCAAAATTGAAGCACTTGGAGACGGCACGCCATATCTGACCTGACCCTGGTGGGGTTGCTCCTTATCCTCCGTTCCCCTTTCTTTATTAGGTTTCTAGAAATTGTATTTTTGTTTTTTGTTTTCGGTTGTTAACCAAAATTGAAAATACAAACGAAAGAAAGAGTAAAATTTCGGATAAAAAAAAAGAGAGTAAACTCGGAAGTAGACTAGATTTGTTCCAAAAAAAAGAGACTAGATTTACTCTTTTAAGTTATAAACAAAAACAAATCAATTCATAAATAAATAATAGTCCATATCCATATAATCTACAGTATTTTTACTCACTGTGCATACTTTATTTAACTTTGTTAGTAAATTTAATTTCAAACTGAATTTATTGATTAATCAAGAGGACCGTAACCAAACCGACCGGCTTTCATTTCACTAACCAATTGATATTTACTATTCTATGGCCTACTAGTGGTCTTATAAATTTGTCGCCATTTAATGTTACAAGTTTGGAGTTGGAACAGAAATAAAGCCACTGACAGAATCTAAAGTTTTTTTTTATAAGTAAACCAAGTCAAGTCAACCGGAAGTTCAAAAACAAGCTACTATGCACAAAGTTGAAACGATTAAAGTTTATTTAATCTAATCAAAGTCACCACCAATCTTTCCTTTATCACACAGAAGAACTTTTTAGCTAATGAAGCTATCAAGAAAGCCAATAAGATTGAAAGCCTTTAAACAAAAATAAAAGAGCCAACCACAAGATGGTGGTCTAGTGGTAGGCGAGCTTTGGGATTTGCAAAGCAACCCGGGTTCGAAGGCACCCCACTACATCTTATCTTGTGGCCACGCGGATATGGGCCTATCTTACGGCCCATTTGAATACCCGGAGTGAGGGTCCATCCGTGGGCTGCACCACCCCTTTGGGGATTAGTCTGGGCATCTCCATGGGCCTGGGATACCCCCAAGGTTAAACAAAAAAAAAAAAAATAAAAGAGCCAATAAGATCCATACTGCTAGAAAATTTCAGGATGTTTTTGTTTTTTTTGGTGCAGAACCAGATGTAGACATAGTAGTTTGGTCCAACTCTCTATCACGACGTCGGTCCGACTCTCTATCACGAGGTGGGGGTTTCTTCATGAGGCTTATTAGTAATGATTGCCTGCAAGGTTCTTCTTCTTCTTCTTTTCCTTCTGAAAAATCATTACACACATAGGCCAAGTAAGTGCTCAACTCTATGAGTATAACATTAATAGAAGACAGCATAAAAGTCAGTTAAAAGAATGGTACCTGGCTGTCTTGGTGACGAGTCTATCAAATAAGGGGAAAAACCAACACCAGTTGTAGCTTTTTGAATGTCTAACGAAGAATCTGCTTCTTTCTCAATGCATGAGTTGTTAGAATCATCATGATCATGAGGGTTCAAAGGCTCTTCCATGGAAGATTCCTCATCACTAGTCTCTTCCGATTGCGACAACACATCTTCCTTAGGCTCGTTGGAGAGGGAAACACAACTCTCTTCTGTCTCGACGTGTAGTAGGTTAGATACTACCGCTGAGCCACATCCCTTTTTGGATACATTTTCAGAACTGACTTCAGATGAACACTCCCCGTTGGTCGGATCATTCGTTGGCGAAGATTCTGAGCTATCTTCTTCATTCCTTGGATGCAATTGTTCAAAGGTTGTTGAAAACCATGGAGTCCCTTCTCTTGCATAGAAAAGAATATATGAATTCTGTGATAACACAAAAGCTTCATCGACTCTAGTGACCTATTAGAGTTTGTAAATGACACAAGGGAAAAAGTTAATTTAATTATCACAATCATATATTTAAACTATTAGATCAATCAACTACAGTTACTAAATTATCACAATTATCTATTTAAACTATAGATCAATCAATCAATCAAGTAATCAAAGTTAGTAGATGTATCACCTTTTTGTCATTAAACTTATGCCATATCTTTGGGGCTGACCTCACAAAGGAAGAGTAATGACCATAAGCTAATGACCCAAAATGCTTCACAAGAGCATAGAGATAATATTTTGAAGAAACCTGATCAAAGGAAAGAAATGTGTTATCTTAGATAAGTACAAATAATTCTAAGTATGTAACAAATTAAAGGGTGATGAGAGATAGTTTAACATACACGGCCATTGCTCGTGTATGGTTGCAAGTCCAACTCCAATGGAAACTCGACATAGTTGAAGTTCTTCTCCATAAAATATCCATTATTCTTGAATCTCTTCAAGTGGAATGTGATAACTTGTGGCAGATTATGGAGCAAGAGTTGCTTCTCCTTTATAACCTTTTCCTCACAGTTATCACACATCATTTGCTCTTCAAGTTTTTCCACACGCGTAAAGGAATCTAGTGCACTTTGAAGGTTACCAACATCTTCAATTTCCAAACTCAACCCAAGAGAATCTTCAAATGTCTCGGAAACATAGTTGCAGTTGCAGCAACGAAGCTGATACATGTTTTCCCGAATCAAAATTTTAAAGCACATAGGAAAACTGCTTGAATGAAATATATATGGTTAGAATTAACATCTTACCTCACTGACGAGACGACCACCAAAGATATGCTGAACCAAGTTAACATCATTTCTTCGATTCAAACAACATATCTCCAACTTATTCAATAACGCATGTAGAAACTCATGTGCATCTTCTTGTTGGTAACGCCGGAAGTCAGGTGAAAAATCTGTGGTAGTTTAAGGATTAAATTCATAGCAATATATTCAAAAAATGATAAAAGCATTATGATTGATTGTGAAGGATATACATACATCTGAGATTGTTAAAGAAATAGAATGGAGTTATTGAAAACGTTGAATTCCTCATCAGTGCCTCAATGATGTGATATCGAAGAACCCTTAGCACACAGAACCCGTTGTCACCTTCAGTTCCAAAAGGTATATATATATATATATATATATATATCAGATCAAGTACAAAATAACGTCATAATAAAATAAAAAAGCCACATGTGAGAGAGTCTTACAGTTACAAGGATCTTGATATTGGTATGAATAGAGGCTATCGATAAGAGGAACAGTGTGAGTTAAACATTGCAAGACCGAGTTAATGAAACAGCTGTTGCCTAGGTTCGAAAGTCCAGCACCCTATAGATTGATGTCAAATTGTAATCAGACAAAACCCTAAACCTGAAACAAAAGAAAATCTCAAAGTTGAAACGAGTTCAGAAAACATACAACACAAGTGGGCTCGACGGGCTTTGGAGGTTCTTGTCTGAATCTACACAAGGGTTGGTTTTCTGAGTCAGCATCAGTATCGGATCCAGGTGAAACATGGGGAGAACATTGTTGGCGATTATCTGGAGATTCAGACAAACAAATTGCCAAGTTTATATTGTTGCTCTTAGAGTGATCTATAGGCTTGGTCATGACTTGAGCATCACTGCACTCGCCGTGCCGAAGACGTAACTGAGAAGACACGATTAGGGTTTCGTCAACCGGAGAAGAGGGAGACCCATCTGAGTTTAGAGGCGGAACTGAAGCCTCTTCCGTCGAGAACGAGACCTGATTATTACCAATAGACTCGTCTAGGGTTTCGACAGGGTTTGGTATCAACGGCGAATGAGGTAAAACCGATGACGAGAACTCGGAATTAGCCACCAGCATCGTATTCAGATAAAACCCTAAGATTAAAAATTAGGGTTTCCTCAAAGGGAGTGAGAAGTCGAGGACACGGATTTGGGGAAAGATCGTTAGCGAAAAAGTTTTAGGAGAGGTTTTTAGGTGGAGAGGGGAAATCGAGAGGCCATCTTATATATCTCTAAAGTAGAATATTGATACGTCGACATCTGACACAGATTCTTCTTAGGGCTTATTAGTCAGATAGCTATGTTTGAGTGGTAAATTAAGTAAATACACATGATTTTGACATAATGTATTAAGCAAATCGATCGCAGTATCAGGGACTCCATCCTTGCCCGCATCAATAGAAGAAAATTCAAGGACCTCCTAGCTCAATGGTTCACCTTTGAATAAAATGCTCCTTCACCATTAAATATTTAGGTTACTTTCTAGGCTTTTTTCCACTTTTTTTTTGGGCCTTTTGTAACGTTTAGTTCCGCGGAGCTTCTGTTTTGATCTTTCCAGTTTTGGTAATAAAATTCACATTTTATCAAAAAAAAAAAATGTATTGTCAGACTTTTTGTCCTCTTTTTATCCGGTTATGTCCCTACAAGAAAAATGTTACCAGTTGCATATTATAAAACAAAAGACGTGTTCATTTTCTATGGTATATTGCAATCACATAATTCACAAAACGCGTGGAAGAAATTTATTCAACATATATAATGTGTTTTTCATTTTGTATGAGCATATGGAACAGAAAAGGTGACAAACAAACTATTCTATCTAGGTTGCACATATACTATTGTATTTATGTGACATAGTACATCATTCAAACCGTTATTGAGAACTAAACATATAAAACCAACCACAACACCTAAATAATATATCTAAATCTCTATTTAGTAAATCTAAACCCTATATTCTAATCACTAAACCCTAACTCCAATTATCCCCTTCCCTTTCTAAATACTAAACCCTAAATGTTAATCACTAATCCATAACCCAAATATAAATTTTAAACCCAAATATAAACCATAATCACTAAACCCTAAATTCAAATATAAATCTTAAACCCATAAACCCTCAACCTAAACAGAATGGAACTATATAAATAGCATAGTACATGTTGGAAAAAAGACTAGTATGGAAGCCCATACCTTATAACTAGGGTTTATAGTGTTTAGTTTTGATCAATACACATAAATTAAGATTCATAACAATGATAAAACAACAAACACAATTTATACTTATGGATTGTACAATCATATTTCTATTTTATATTCTGCAAATATAATAGTATGCAATAAATAGTAAAGATCAAACATTCCATTTGACATGAATGGTCTTTCAATTTTACGTATACATGTCTATTCAACTTATATATACATTGCGTCATTATTGTCATTTCCAAATTAATGGGGGTTGATTAATAAGTATAAGTACAAACAGTTAATTGGTAGAAAGATCATAAGAATATATAACAAATGTTTATTTTTTATAAAATACATTTCTATTCGAGCGCACCAAATAGAATAGAATAAAATAAATAATAAATTACAAATAAAATGACTAGAGATGGAACTGATGGAGTAATGTAGAAAGAAAAACAAGGAGAAGGTGAGGAACCATGGGGAGCAGTGGTGATGGAGAGAAGCTTGTGATGGCAATGAAATAACCACTGGTAGTGGTGGTGATGGCAGTATTACCTATGAAATAATAACAATATAGTACATATAACGTTTCATTTCTATTCTATGTAAATAATATAAAATAGAATAGAAAACATGGAATGGAATGGATTCAGAGCATTGTACGCCTTAGTGGAAACCTCATCAACAATGTAATGCACTAGGTATGCAATCGACCAAACAATATATAGATAAGAAACGTCGTTGTTCTCTATCACGTATATTAAACAAAATGTCAACTGTATGGAAGAATATGACCATGAATAAGAATGTATGCAACTCAATGTAAACTGAGATACGAAATTGTCATGTCCGGTCCATTTAACCTAGTATGGAATGACTGCATCTACTACTATTCCATTTTAAATGGAACGAATGTTAACGTTACACCCAAATGTCAAACCGTTGACATAATAAGAACATGAACAATAACATATGCATCTAAAAAGTTAATGTTGATACTGCCACAACCCCTAAATATTAAACCTTAATCTGTAATCAGTAAACCCTAAACCAAAATATAAACCATAAACCCAAATATAAACCCTAAACCCATATATAAATTCTATACCACATGAAATGGAACAACCTCAATAACATAGTACTTAGTTGTTGTATTATCAAATATTTGTGATTGTATTTAAGAAGTTAATGTTAATCTCACCTCACCCGCTAAATATTAAACCCTAAAGTTTAATCAGTAAACCATAAACCAAATATAACCCCTAAACTCAAATATAAACCCTAACACCAATCATGAAATGTAAACCAAAATAGAAAGAAACACAATGACATAACATAGTACATAATTCACTGATTTAGGGATTGAAAAAAAAAGCAAAAAAGCCCTAAATCCTAATCACTAAACCCTAAACCCAAATATAGACCCTAAACCCAAATACAATAGAACAAAATAGATAGAATAGTACATATTGCTGAGCAAAATAGAACACTATTTATTAATCATCAAATGGAACGATACATGATAGGGTCACTAAACCCAATCCTCAACCCCACCTTCTGAATACTAAACCCTAAATCCTAATTACTAAACCCAAGTATAGATTCTAAACCCAAATAGAATGGAACAAAATAGATAGAATAGTAGATATTTGTGAGTAAAATAGAATGGAACATGATATTTACATTTCTATTTTATATGCATATAATAGAATAGAATACAATAACTGTTCATCTTCTTCCACATACAACAAAAAAATTATGTAAATTCAGATACGTACAGTTTCGGTGAAGATAACCCAAACAGAGCACCACAACTTACAGATATTGGAAGGATCTCCGTCAAATCACCTCACTGCTTCTCTTATTCTGACGTCTTCTTTCGTGACCGACCACATCTTTAAGAACGGTTTCTCCTCCGCAAAAACAATTCTCCATGAATACATCTGGGGCATACTCGTACAAATCTGAGAAGAAATCTATTCATATTTCTGAGAGGATCTGTGAAAGTAATGAAGGCCACATATTTCTTTTACAATCATTAATCATTAATTATTTTTTTATTCTTTACAAGTTTCACCGGTAGAAAAAAGGGTATTATGGAAATATTATAGAAAAGACATGTGGTGTATCTGTGTATTAGGGAAATTGACTACAAAATGAATTATGCTTTTCTGTTTGTCTATACAGCCCAATTTCCCTTCTTCTTATATATGGTACGTATATTTGAGGTCGGTGGTGGCCACACGTTCGATTTTGACTCTAGTCAACCAAACCATACACTAAAAAAGTTATAAATTATATAATTGATTTGTAATATACTAATACATGTAAAAACATATTTAAAATTTATTTTAATATCTTGAAATTACAGATTTTGTACAAGGATAAATCAATTTAACTATACTATTATAGCACAGTCAACCATAAATTTTAAAAACTAACTAGATTCTGATCTATCAAAATATAACTTATGACATCATATATTATTTAATTTTATTTCTAAATTATCTTAGCCTTTTATTATGATTTTAATCAAATCTCTTTAACTTATTGGATTAATTTTGTGATATGTATTTTTGATAATGTTTAGTTATTGGTGTCAGTTTATTGACTCTAACAGTTTATTTCCATTATATGAAATCATTTTAAGTTTTATTTTTTTTTATAAAATAAAAATCAAATAATTCTGTTGATTAAATTGATTTTCATATTAAATGAATTTGTTTTTGTAGTATCTAAATCTGAAAGATATAGTTATATTTATTTTCAATTTTTCATAAACTCTTGGAGTCTTTTAGTCAATTACTAGATTTATCAGAAAATTTCAAAGAAGATTATTTAAATATTAAAAATATTGGAAAGTGGGACATATATGTTTGGATACAATACTAATTAGAGGCATTATATTTGTATCTCACTTTCGCTATCATTCTTCATGTTTATCTTTTTATATGAACTAGATTCTTTTCCTCGCTACGCGCGGATTACATGCTTCAAATTTATTTATTTACAAAATGTTTCATTATGTACATAGATTGTTTATATTTTCTATTTGTTTTAATGTAAATTTTCTAAAGTCTTGTTCTCCTTGGCTTTTATTTGGAACCCATTTTATAGATAGTTTAAATATTAATATATTTTAATCTAAGAAGAGAACAACTATTCCCAAATGCTTATTTTGTTCTTATGATTTTGTATTTTCCCCATAAGTTTATTCTCTTAAATATTGAACTCATTGAAACATCAAGTGTGTAATTTTCTATCCCGATATGGTTTTTCTTCAGTCTCTACTTACAACCCGTCGCTATTAACCATTTGAGGATGTTAGTTTTTTAAGTTGGGAGTAATAGGCTGATTTCTTTAATTAATTTTACTGTAGGTCGATGTAAAATATGACATTTATTTAGATTCTTGATTTTGAACGATGGTTAACTTTTAGTTGGGAGAACATTGTAGTATATTTAAAGTTAAATCAACCAATTCATACATCAACAAAGTGTCGTGGTCCCGATCAGTACATGCACTCAGAGTAAGACTCAAGGACTTGATGAAGGGTCAGCTGTGAAGCATCTCTCAGTGGAGGGCCAGCCGGAGTTCAAGGCGATTCTCTTTGTTCCAAAGAGAGCACCGTTTGATCTCTTTGACTCCAAAAAGAAGCTGAACAACATCAAGTTGTAGATCAAGAGGGTGTTATTTTAGCTCCCAGTCACCACTTACCTTCCCCTGTGTTTCTTCGTAGCAGGTAATGGTGATTCAAAACATTTTCAGTTTGAAGCAAACCGTACTTTTCTGTCTGATTCTGATAATAACAACAGCCAAGGAGGTGGTTACGGTAACCATCCATTTCGACAAAGGGTATGATTAATTCACATTATTTTTGGACGTCTTAAG